TCTCTCCAGAGTATCTGGTAAGTCTTTCCTGCCCTCCCTGGAAAGTCCAGGAATTGAACATCAGAACTTCCAGACGCGAGGTTAACTTAACTCTCAATAGACTGAAAAAGTACCTCTGATTATGGGAAGATTTTTCCTCTACAGAAATGGGAATAAGAACCATATCTGGAAAGGAAATTCATTTAATATGATGCTTGTGAGTACACACACAAGCATCTTCTAAAAACCACGTGCCTTGCTTCAGAAAGAATTAGGTTGTGCCGAACAGCTGCTTTATGCGATTAACTAATTAAATGACATTTCTGTGCCACCCAATGGCTGAAGCTCTCTGGCTCGTTCACAATAGTTCAAACCCCAAAATACACCTCAAGAACATATAATATAAAAACCAGGTCATGCTTACCCAAGTTGGAGCATCTGATTTTTGCTGATCTCCCCCTTACAACGTACCACACTATACCACATTACATCCTATATAGAAACGAACCCACACATTCATATAAACATTTGACAAAAATGTCTTTAGGAAGCTTTTTGAGCGTCTCAGCATTGATTAGACACGTGTTTTGTGTGTAGATGAGTCCTACCAATACAGAAATGGCAAGTCCTTTAGTAAAAAAAGGTTCAGTTTGCTCCAAAATGCGTTAAACCGCAGTGATACAGCTACGCAGACCTGAACACACAATGTTAACAGTCTTTAGATAAGCCATGTGCAAACTCGACCACCATTTCTGTTCCGTGTTCCAGCACCCACAATTCCAAACTCCGCAACTTTTCCATTCCTGATATGCAACCGATCCTGATTTTAAAACTATCCTGACCACTGGGCAGGTTTTCTTTTGTTTATATCCTGCCTCTTTTTCCTTCCAAGGAACTCAGAGGAGGGTCTCCCCCTCCCTAGCTGCAGCTGTCCAAGGTACGAGAAAAACCCCCCCCCCACAACTTTTGGAATATGTACTAGTTGCAGAATTAGCATCAGCTTAAAAGTAGGCGCTTCCCCACCCGCGATCCAAAGCTGGCCGGGTCACCTGACTCTCGCCCTGTAACCATCAGCTGACTTAAAACCCAATTACAGCAAATCAAAATCCCCGAAGTGCAGGCGAAAGGGGGTGAGGCGTCATGGTATATAACAAGACATAAAACATTTCACTGGATGATCGCCCAGCTGCCCGTTGCACAAAGTTTGCCACGAGCCTCCAATGAAACAAGGAGCATTTGTCCCTCCGAGGGAGCATCTAGATCAACACCAGGTCGAGCGTTCTCCCTCCTGTGAGCGGCATCCACACATGCACAGGAGCAACCGAACGGTCCCCATCCTTCATTCCTAGCAGCTAGCTCAAGTGCACTGAGCAAGAATTTGTATCGGAGAATGTTTGTATACCACCGTTTTTCCTTCCAAGCAGCTCAAGGGGGCTTACATAATTCTCCTCTGAACCTTGTCCTCACAACAGGTGGGTCGGGCCGAGTCTCAGGATGGTCCAGAGTCACCCAGTTGACTCCATGGCCGAGCGAGGACCCGAACCCGGCTTTGCCCGAGTTCCAGATCTGCACTTTTCACCACTAGACCACGCTGGCTCTCGATATGAGCGTATCTTGAAAGTAACGGCCCGATGGCCACGAGGCTGCAACCTAATCCTGGGGTGCTTGGGCAGGTCTCCTCAGAGGCACACCAGACAAGAAACTGGGATTGAGGGTCGTTAAGATTTAAAACCTGGAATGGATGCAGTGCCCTGCTGGACACCGAGAACCAGAATGGTACAGCAGGGAGCGTACTCGAGTCCCAGGCTCTCAGCTCAACCACCTCGCAAGGTTGTTGCAGAATAAAATGGAGGAGACTGGAGTCACGCTGGGTACCTTGCAAGAGGAAGACAGGCAAGGTGTACATGCAATTTGATCGTCAATACAGTCTCTTATCAGTAGGAGCGTGACCAGCCTCAAAGGTTTATCTTTAGGTTATTAGAATCTGTTCCAAGAAAACACTGTTAACAGTTGGATTGCTGACCTTGACTGTACATGACAGACCTCATGGTGAGTTCTTGAGCGGGAGAAGTGTGCTTGTTTTGTTGGCAGTTAATTCCCTGTACCAAGTGGCACCTGTACATCCGTTATGGGGTTGCTGTTTAACAGCACAGTTTAGCATGCTTGCCTACACGCAAGCCTTCTATCTGTTCGGATTCAGATCTCGCCCCCCTGCATCCCTGTATCTGCCCCATGGGTCCCACATATAAACCTGAAACTCTTTGTCAAGCTCCACGTAACTTAAGCGGGGACGTTCGCTAGGCATTCAAGGTTCTGGATTCCCTTGCAACGGATCACCAATGGCTTCCCTCTGGAAACGGTTACGTGCTTCTTAGACTCAGAGCTGAAGGGACCTCAAAGGTCACAGGATTTCTCCCGCCAGAGCACGGGAACTGCAGCTACAGCACCATTAGAAGGTGGTTGCCCAGTGCGGCTTAACATCCTTTAATTTCAGCGGATTTGCTTTGAAGGGTGGTTGGGAGCTGCATGGTACTTCAACAGGTTAGGGGGTTCAAGGTTACTCATCAGCAGTGGTTCCTCAGGGGTCCTTCCCAGTCCTACCTGGAACCTGACCTGGGGACCTTTCCACATACAAAACAGTTTTCGTACTCCTGCTGTACTAGTCCTGTGTTTTTGATGCTGCAGACCCTCTGGGGCCGTAAGAGTTTGAGACATCAGCAGGACTCCTAGCCGTGAGGAAGGGGGAGGATGACAAAGGAGAGCACCTACAAACTGCCAAGCTTTCATTAAACAGCACTTACGTGTTAGCACAATCTGTTACAGTCGTTAACTTGGACTGAGATAGCCTGAAAAGGTTCTGGGAAGGAAAAAGGGAATGAAGAGAAACTGGCTTTATAAAACATCTGCTTGTTCAGTTTGTGTCCAGGACACGCAAGACCCCGATGGAGCGCACCCCCCGCCCCCCAACCGCTTTCTGCACTGCCAAGTTGGACTGTTTCAATTTCATGTGAGAGCCTGAATCTTATTTCAGATGCCCGAAGCAGTTTAAGAGTAAGGGAAGGAGTGAAGAAAATTCCACCATGCTCCACCAAAAGGTCAGACATAAAGCTAAACAGAGCACAGAGTGACTCAGCCAGAGACGAAACTTGATCGGTTTAAAACCCTGCCCAAGAAACCCGCAAGGAAAGCAGCTTCATGCTTGCCCCCTTCCCCACACCTCCAACCTCCAGGATAAACCTTCCCTTAACCCCCTAAATATGCTTCCCTACTTTGGACAAGTTATACAAATCCCTCCAATTTTCCTCTAAAATTGGTTTTTTCTCTATTCCAAGAGCTGATACACTTGGAATTAAAAATAAAATGGAAGGACTGCAGTCAAGTTCTTCCTTATACCAGCTGGAGTCCAGAGAGCTTTTATGAGGCACCCGCATTTGAGCAGATCGCAAAATCTTTCTTGGCTGGTGGCCAGGACAAGCTAGCTGGGGCTTGATTGTTTTAAGACCAGGAGTTATTTCCTCAAAGTATTTTTATAGCTCCCTACATCTTATGGCTTCCTGAGCAACGAAGAGAGAGATCCCAGTATAATATACTGCATTCCATTTTCCAGGCCTTTTTAGTCGGCCTTGAAGGCAGGCTGCTTCTCAACCCGTCTGCCTTTCCCCAACTCCCCCTCAAGGGCTGGGCCCAGGAAACACTTTCCCATGACTGCTCTGAGGTACACAAAGGTGAGACACATTCCGTCTTACAAATTAGAATTTCATTTGCTAATCAGAAATGATGCAGTGAAGGAGAGCTGCAGTATGGCAGACGGAAAAGCCTGGAAGTAAAAGACAGTAATAAGGCCGATTGAGGCTGGTAGAGCCAACCTTTTGGGCCTATACGCACTATCTATCTCAGCGTGCTGGCTTGGAGAGACCACCACTGAGATCAGCTCCTAGAATCACTGGGTCACAGTTTAAAGCCCCCACACCCCAATTCTGTTTTAGCAGCAAGGAAACAGCCAACTCTTAATGAGGACCAGTAGGGCAAAGATGGGGAAAGTCTCTCCCCACCCGGAGACCCCAATTCTCTGCCATTAGTGCAGAGCAGGTCTGTTCCCCACCCTCAGTTTGCACACCACCCATGTATAATTTGGACCAGTCTTCCCCAACCTGATGGCCTTCACAGGCATCTGGACCGCAACTCCCAGAATTCCCATCCAGCAGGGCCATCGACTGGGAATTCAGGCTGTTGCAGTACAAACTGGAGGGCACGAGGCGGGCGAAGGCGGACTTAGAGCAGGCAAACCAGTGCAAAATTGTGTAGAAGTAACCCCCTCCCCTTACAAGCAATAAAAACTCATTCTAAGTTTTTGAGTCCCCTGGCCTATCGCTATTACAGTCTCAATATACTGTTCATACACCGATGTCACGAGGTGAGGAAAAGCAGCACCACAATAAATTAGATGTAGAACTGAAATTCAGAGCCAGTAAGGTGACGGAGGTACAAGGAAAGTGTCGGAAGAGAGGAATGGGTGGCACTCCCCTGAAACAGTCAAAAAGTGGCTCGCACGTACGAAATACACCCGCTACCTACCTCTGCAGCAGCCCTGTCGCCACCTGTGGAAAAAACGGTTGGACAGGATGGAAGGACACACCGACCCTAGCTCCTTGCCAGCATTAGCCACCAAACCACCAAGCAACCAGGTGCCAGCCTCTCCAACTCTGGAAAGGTTCCCCCCTGTTCCTGCGCACGGCACCAGGTCAGCGCTTGGGCAAAGTCCCAACCCAGACACTGAGTGGACGGGGGGCGGGAGAAGAGTGGCCATCAAGGACGGGAGTGAAGGAGCCACTGCAAAGGGCAGGGCAGGGCAGGGCAGGACCCTGAGCAGGGGCTGAAGAACCCTCTGGCTTGCACACGATCTCTGCCATAACCCGCGTGCTGTGGAACGTGGCCCCCACCTGGTGGCAGGAGAGGCCGGCGCCAGAACGCCCCTGCTCCACCCGCGGCCCACCACCCTTTGAAAGAACGGGATGCACCGGGACGATTTCAAAAGCTGCATTTAATTTGAACCTCCCCTTCACTGCAGTTTTCATCTTACACAAAAAAGCAATTAAGAAAATGGTTACAGGAGACCAAATGAAGCGTTGTACACACACATCATCGTCAACAGGAATCATTCAGTCTGCGGGTGGGGCCACCCCAAACCACAGAACACTCAAAATGTGTTTGAAAAAAATTAAAAAAAAAAAAAAAACCACCGGAAAGGAGTTTCCAGGCAGATGGGACAAGAGACAAACTGACCTCAAATAAAACCAAGATGCCCACCCTGTGCTGATTTCAGCTTAGCTATTTAGTGAGAGGGTACAGGTGAGCTGAGGCCCCATCATTTCATGGGCAGACCCACGCGGCGGGATCTACCTTTGCTCTCGGCTAAGGACTGAGGGAAAACGACCAGCAGTCCTGGCTGAGCGGTGCTGCATGTAACCTCAGCCCCGGAGGAAGCTACAAAAATCCATTTGCTCCTTCAACTGTACTGGCAGAAGTGTGTTAACGGTGGAAATGCACATGGCCGTGGAAAATGGGTGTCCCTTAAGAAGAGGATAAAAATCTAGGAGATTAACAAAAGCCACTGTTCCAGCCCCGGGGGCAAGGTGAAGATGCATCGATTCACAGAAGGGGCCTTGCCCCGCCACGGCCGCGTCCGGCTTCCGGGCAGGAGCATCCCACATGCTCCTGGCTCTCGCGCTAAGGGAAGCCGGAGGCCCTCCTCCGGAGGGGGCTCAGCACTAGGATCCTGATGGGTAAAGTAAGTTCTGCTATTGAAGCACACCAGTCAGTCAATCGAGACGGGCGCCTGAGAAGTCACACACCTCTCTAAAGACAGAGTAGGGAGGGGGGGTGCATCCGTGATGTGCTCCTGGGGGGGCTCGCAGGCCTCCCCGCTCCGAATCCTGGCTCCATACTGGTGAGAAAGACAACTGGACAGAAACACCATTCCTCAGTTCTGTGGTGGGGGGGGTGGGGGGGCGGGGGGCATGCCGAACGGTGGCAAGGCTGGGACCCCCACTCCCATCATGGTGACGAAGTTAGAAGGGTCCATGGGAGGCGGAGGAGGGGGAGGGGCGTACATCATGCCCGCGGAGCCAGGCGGGGGGGGCGGGGGAGGAGGGGGGGCCCCGGGGGGCAGCGGAGGCTGGACCCCGGGAGGCAAAGGCACCATGGAGGGGCTGCCTTGCATCTGCGGGCCCCCCGTAGAAGTTGCCGCCGCCCCCTGCTGCTGCTGCTGCTGCCATGGAGGGATGGCCCCGGTGCCAGCGCTCGTGGTGGTGGTGGTCGTCGTATCTAGGGCGCAAAAGAGCAGGGGGTCACCCGGGGCAGCATGCCGGCGGGCCCGGGCCCCCCACGGACACCGACCCCGACCCAGGCGCAGGCAAGCGGGCGCCCTCCGCCCAGGGAGGGCCTCGCAGCCACGCAGTGTGGAAGCCAGATGCTCCAGCTGCTCCCGAGGGGGACGGCCTCTCTGGCACCGGCCCCGCGCAGAGGCAGGCCGGACGGTGCCCTCCACCCCGCGCTTCCCCGGCTTGGCAGAGTGATGGGGGCAAAGAACAAGAAGTGCTCTTACTCACTTTGCTGCCATGGCAAGGGGGTACTGCTGCTGGGAGGCGGGGGCGGAGGCTGCTGCTGCTGCTGCCATGGGGGAAGAGGACCAGAGGGAGGCGGGGGAGGCTGGCCACTGGGCGGAGGGGGCGGAGGGGGCATCATACCCATCGGAGGCGGCATCATACCTGCGAAGTCAGAGGGCCGGGCCGGCTTTCAATCAGTGCCTGGGGAAGCCCTCCCTTGCCTTCCCCAGCCCCCCATGGCACCCACGGACGCAGGCCCCGTGCCCCCCCCGCCGCCCCAGAAGGGAGGCATGTCTCACCTTTTCCTTGGAGGCGATAGACCCCAGAGCCCACTGGCGCATTGCCCAGGTACTGATCTTAAGGGAATGAGAGACCGCAGCCTTAGCAACAGGTGGAAGAGACCACCAGCCCCCCGCCCCGCCCCGCAGCAGCCCTCCCCGCACAGCCAGCCACAGGAAACGGCCTCTCCTGCCGAGGCTTCTGCAAGAACAGCTTCTGCACTGGCCGCGAGTTGCACTGTGGCTGCACAGCCTTGATCCGCCAGCTGCCCCCCCCCGGGGGGGGGGGACGACTTCCCACAATGTTCTGGATTGTACTCACCCATATGGTGCGGGCCTGGAGGGCCATGGGGGTGGGGCCCCTGGTTCATGGGAGGGTTGTGGGGCTGCATCCAGGGCGGAGGCCCATTGGGGTTGTGCTGCATGGGGTGGCCCCCATGGCCTCCCATATTTGACATGGGGTGTGGGAAATTGTGCGGGCCTCCCGGCCCCGCGGGGCCTCCCCCGCCACCGCCGCCGCCGCCGCCACTGCCGCCGCCGCCGCCGCCACCACCGCTATGCATGCCATGGAAAGGCCGGTTTTCCGAGGGGGCAGAGTTCATCCAAGGTGGGCGGTTCTGAGAGGGGAGAGGAAGGAGGGTGTGAGCTGCTCCGGGCCCATGAGCGCAAACCCGGCAGGTTGCGGGCACTGCACCGGAGCTGCCCACCGGGGCGCACACTGAGCTACTTACAGGAGGCGGCTGGTTGTTTCCCGGCCCAGAAGGTCTCGGGCCACTGGGCAAGGCTGGGTTCGAAGGCCCAGAAGAAGACCCAACGGACGCGGGCACAGGCGCCTCCCCCAGCTCTGCCATCAGAGACAAATACTCCTTGTCCATGCGGGCCTTGTCCTGTGCCGACTGCGGATCCCCAGGCCTGAGGAGGAAGACAGCTGGCTGAAGCCTGGTGCAGCCCACACTGCAGCCGGTGACCCGGCCTCGAGTCCGGCGGTGGGGCTCCCCCCTGCCGTTCGTTTTTCAGAACTGCAGGAATTGGGGGCACCTCCAGTACCTTGGTCCAGCCAGGCTGTGCCAGCCGAAGCCTGCGAGGCGTGTGGCCGCACCTGCCCGAGGAGAGGGAAGCCGGCGATGACACCTACCTGGCAAACTTGCAGTCGGATGCTATGTGGCCAGCTCCGCCACACTTGGTGCACACGGTGGTGTTGGTGATGCTGCGGGTCTCCGTGTTCTGCCAGGGGCGCAGAATCCTGGTGGGGAAGAGCGGCTGGGTCAGAGCAGCGGCCAATCGAGGCGCACCGCCCCAGAGAGCATGGCTGGGGCCACCCAGCGCGCTTACCGGTTGTCGTCCTCGCGCAGCGTCCCGTTCAGGCGGGCCAGCTCCCGCAGCTGCATCTTGCGCAGGTCATTCTGGTCCTCCGGCGTTTCGATGCCTTGCTTCAGAATGTTCCTTATCTGGGAGGGAGGGAGCGGCACGTGGGTAGGACCGCTGTCCCAGGCTGTGGCCCCAAGCTGCCTGGCTGAGACCCCCCCCGGAGCCTGATGTGTATCGGCTCGAGCGCCACGATCGCAGGAAGGTGGGCTGCAAGTCAACTGCACCATGCCAACAGCAGCTGATGCCACTCAGTCTTGGGAACTGGCTGATGGCCATATTTAAGGTTAGGAAGCAATCCCTTCCCAGCCTCAATTGCTTCCTGAACCACTTCATGTTTGCTTCCCCCCTCTGCCTGGTGCACCTGAGCAGGTTCCCAGCAACAGGCTGTTCCTTCTGCTCCAAGGGTGGGGTGGGCAGGGGTGGCCTTCTGACCAACTCTGTGCCACCTGGAGGGCTGCCTGTTACCTGCTCCACAGCCTTCTTCACGTTCTCCATGGTGTTGGCAGTGACCAAAGCATGAAGCGGCTCATCCTCGCCGGGCAGCATCTGGCCGTCCTTCCTTCCCACCTTTCCTTCTTTGACAGACCCTTTGCCTCGGATCATAATCTTGGCATTGCATTCCTTCTCAATGTTCTTCAGGGTGTTCCCTCTGGAAGGGGTGAAAGTCAAAACCAAGATCTTAACCCTGGCAGCCAATGCTCTGCACCTTTGTCCCGAAGAGAGAAAGTGCCTCTGAAGGCCCAAACTGCTGCCTGACACAATCATGGAGCTTGTGGGACAGCCAAGGCAAGCTGGCAGAGGCATCTCCAAGCGTCACAGAATGCACTGCTCCTGCCAGGAGGCCAGGGCACAAAGCAAGCTCGGAAATGCCGCAGAAAAGCAAGAGCACCTCGCGTGTGTCCCGCATTATCTTCTGCTTCATGTCTGCACCAACCAGAAACCAAAGCTCTCTCTTGGCGCGTTACCCATCTACTGAACGCACGAATGGAAATAAATGAGCAAGCTGGGCATCTGGGTCTGGAAGGACACCCTTTCTTACCTGGGCCCAATCAGAAGCCCCACAAAGTTGATCTCGGGATATTCGTCTTGCGGGATCATCACCTTGTCACTCACTCGAGTAGCTGGAGGTCTGTGAAGGGACAGGCAGCGGCTATCAAGATCTGGTTGCGCCTCCCAATCTTTACAGAGCTCAGAAGAGCAAAGGAGAGGGCTACATCCCAGACGTGGGGCGGCACCACTGGGGAGACGGCTCGCCACAGGCCCCGCCACCCGAGCCACAGCGATGAGCTCTGCTGGCGGCCAGCTGCGGCCCTCCGGGCACATTTCGCCATGCCCTGATAATGCCTGGACTATGTGGCCACGGTGTGCCGAGTGCCTTTGGAGGCGGTGTTGGGAGCGCCAGGAGTGGCAAGGCCGCTAATCGCGCACACATAGCCAATGTGCTGCGTCCCGTCGCTCCCAGCTGGTTTCCAGCACAATCCCAACCGCTGATCAGCTACTCAAGGTCCAAGCGGCCCGGGCCCGAGGCAAAGCCCGACCACCCATCCTTCCACGGTCTTGGGAAGCCCTGCCTGAAGAGCCTGCACTCCCTGAGGAAGGCCGGATGGCAACCTAACCCTCAGCTGCGGTGCCCTGTCTGGAATTCCCCCTTGCCAACTTCTCAGGCGGATGTCAGTGGCCCTTTTAGGTTCTGCCTCCACTTGGTATTTAAGTGTTCTTTTAAAAATGGAATACAGTGCTTTTATTCCACTTACAGTCCCGGTGATGAGGCAGGTTAGAACCATCCCCAGTAAAAAAAAAAAAAAAAAAAGGCATGAGGCAACACACCCCACCCAGATTCGTCCCCACCCGCCCATTTACTTGTAATCAGCGGGTGGCTTGAAGTCTGGATTGAGCGCCACCATCTCTGTGATCAGGTTGTGCCTCTCCTCCTCCAGCTTCTTGCGCGTGCGGAACTCGCGGGTGTTCAAACGCTTCCCCTCGCTGTTGTAAATTGGTTCTGGGGAAGGAGACCTGCAGAGGAATAATTGCCAGTGATTCCTCATGCAGCCGAACCCCCAAGGCCACTTATAAAGTACAGGCTCCCCTCAACTCTAGCGCAATTTAGAAACAAACAAAAAAAATCAAGACTGCAGGAAAGGAAGGCGTAAACTCACTCATGCCCATTAATCTCACATGGACAAAGCGGCTGTAGCAAACCACTGACTGCCACCAGGAGGAAAAACTGGGGTGCTTTACTGGGGAGAAGGGAGTGCAGAAGGGGGGGAGCGGGGTAGGTCCACAGCCATGACAGAAGCTCTGCCATGAGTGTGTCTGTTATTAAAAAAGGGGAAGGGGGCAGGGAAGATGGGGAAAGTTGATTCACACAGAGAACAAACTTTCCAACTTCATTATTCCGTGGAGCCAAACATTTAGAAAGAACCCTGGCGCAGGAGGTAAATCAATGAAGAATTATTCAGGTTAACTTTGGATTTTTTTTTTTTTAACATCAGAAAAGTAACAAAACAGGTTAAATGTAATATTCTTTCTGGCAGTAGAAATTAGCTCTAGTTCACTGGCACCACGTGGACGGGTCAAGGCTTCTGTGTCCTGGCTTTACCTCCACTTTGCTGGCTGCATCAAGGCCGAATGAACCTGTTTACTGTGTTTAAGAGTTAGAGAACTAGGGTGGGTGCAAACTGAACAAGCCCACCTTTCTCATGCTACGGTCTGGGCCTGTAAACCACGAGAGACAGACCTGCTTTCTCCATGTGGTTTGGGTGCCCAGAAAACAAAGGTTCTCATAAACAAAAATGTTATAACTTGAATTAAAAAAAAAAAAGAGTCAGTCTGATTTTACCACAGCTGCACTTGCGGTAAAAAGCCACACTCCTAGAATTCTGCTGAGTGTATGGATCTTTTTCCAAACATATTGAAATAAAAATTTAGAGTTAGCTGCAAGAAGGGAAGAGATATTGGTCATGTTATTAAAAAAAACAACCTTGAAGTAATCAGAAACCTAAACCCCTGGGACTTTAGTTAAACAATCTTTCTTTCTAGCTGGTTAAAGGAGTGATTAGAACCAGTTGATCCCAATGTCTTCTCAGCCTGAAGTGAACCATCAACACAAGAATATGAAATAAAAGGTCAGATTTGGTAAGGAGTGATCATCTCCAAATTACACCTCCATTTCTAGGACCTGAGAAGGCCTAGTGATCCCAAAGCAATCTCTCTCCCCCAGTCCACATTTACTAGCCAGTTTAAAATAAACTCATCCACTAGCTTTGGTATATCCTTTTAAAACACAAAGATGTATCATTAATAAAGTGATTGGTTCCAAGATTAAACCTTAAGGAAAAGAGTTTTAAGCTGAATGTATCTAATCGGTTCGTGCCTTCCCACAGTAAGAGTTGCCCTTTTGCATGTGAGACAATTCAATTTTACTGTAAGTTAATGGTATCCGATCATTTAACCAGTATGGTCTCAGCACAAGGAATGAATGTACAATCAAGCACCCTATGGCACACAGGACAAAACAACAATGGCAGCCCTCTTTGTTCTGTGTTAAATTTCTCATTCACCTGTTAAATTAAGACCAACTGCCCCAATTAAATTTTACCAAGCACAAAAGGAAACCACACAAATCTATTCCCACCAAGAATGAGTTTACCTAGCAAATTTAACTTAATCCCACATTATGGTTCAAACAACAACTGAAAAAATGTGATTTGTGAAGTAAAATAGACAATATCCCAAGAGCTGGAATTAAAAAGGCTTCCAAAGCTGCTGGCGCCCTCATCACATTTCTTTACTGCCCCCCAAGTTATGATTTTAAATGGGCTGAATTTAAGGAAAGGGGAATCTCACTGAAGTCCACTTTAGGAGCAAGAACTGGCTGACAAGTTGTGCAACATGCTCTAACACAACAACTCCCACCTTAACCTTCTCGGAGAATTAATCCTCACAAGCCAATTTGTAAAAAGAAAAAACACACACGTTATTTTGTTGGAGAACGCTGGCGCCCAACAAAACCACCGGTGTCCAAAGCTGCACGTGTGCAGGTGCAGGACTCGCTTGGGCCCCCAGCTCCCAAGATATCGGTCACTGCCGAGTAGTAGCTGCTACCAAAGAAACTCGTTAGTATCCGTCTGGTTCTTTTGCCTCAGTTTTTAAAAAACACACATGCTCAGCCACCACTTGTAAAGCATTGCAAAATCGGCGGTCAGAAAAAGTTCCCAGCATGCTCAGCCACAGCGACTGCGCTGAGGATTCCTCAATGAGAACCTGTGAGAAAGACCCCTGGACACTTGCCCAAGACCAGCACTGCGGATGTTAAAATTAGATGGCGGCCGCATTTTTCTTTGCCTTAAGTCATTAGCCTTAGGATGGCTTGGAAGCCCCGCACCACGTATGGAAAGTTACCCCTTTCTGGTTTCATACCCTGCCTAACGGTTAAGGTTTCTGCTACCATCAGTCAAAATCAGAGCATTGAAGACATTTCATTAGGAAGGAATTTCATTGAACTGACATTATGATGCCACCAAACGTTTATTGAAAAAGGTAAAAAATGTTACTGTCAGCTGGTTAAAACTGTTTCCCAACCTGTCCTCAGGGTTAGGGGGGATGCCCAGGTCTCCTGTGCGCAGTTTACGAGTCAGGTCTTCTATCTGCAGTTGCACTGGAAGAAACCAGGTTAGGAAAGAAAAAAGGATGGAAAAAAAGACAATGTTACCAAAAAAACATCTTAAATCTCGGTTTCATAGCATGAAGAACTGGAGAATTTGCAAGGGATGACTGATATATCAACATAAAATCAAGAAATCCTACAATGTTATGTCAAATATGTTCATCAGGAATCCAGAAAAGGCCCTCCTTATTTCTAGCAAGTCTTCAAAAAACAATTAATCATCAGGAAGCAAAGCATTCATCTCAAGAGTTAGTAAAAAATAAATAAACAAGTACCTAATCTTTGCGAGTCTGACTAAACGTTAATTATCCTGACTTGCTTTAAGTGGTAGTGAGCAGAGACTCCCAGTGGAAATGCTAGACACCATGGATTCTTTTAATTCTTTTCTTTTCTTTTTTAAACATCAGACCAGTCTAGTTTGGTTATATGTCTGCATGGGACAATTTGAGATCAGAATTCCAAAATCAGAATGCCCCAGTTTAGCAAGAACCCTCATGGATTATGCATCATGCTCCTACATACGTAATTAACTCACTGCTTACTAGCAAACACTAAACACTGCAGTGTGTCATCATGCAAAACCTTAACATGCTTTACCTTGCTGGCTATTTTATACTGCACATCAATTCCAAATACCTGCAGTGCTAGCAGGTGGCCCTGATGGTTTCATTAGTCCCTTCAAGCCCTGATCTATGAAACTTTTGGCAATTTGGTTTTCAACCCAGACTGTAACACGACGACTCTGGTTCAATACAACAGAGTGCAAGTTAATTAGTATTTGCTCGGCTAGTGGAGAATATCAAAAAGGCAGCGTGGCAGCTGGTTTGGGATGCGTTTCCTCAGCTCCCTGCTCTGAGGCAACCTACTTGAAGAGCCACTGACACCTGCCAGAGCACTGTGGAAAATACTGTTTGTGAACTACCAGCCAAGCCACTAAGCAAAGGTACACCTACATCCAAATTAACGAGAGACTTATCATACATGTAAAAGGTGATGCAGATCATCTGGGCCTCAATGTGAAGAGGGGTGTTCTGGTCGCACTGAGCTTTGGAGCAAGTAGTAATCAAAGAGGCTCAAATCCTTTCCATTTGGTCCAAAGGCTAACAGGACACACTACCCTTTCCCTCACGTTCCTTAGTGCATGTCCAAGACTTCAAGGGAAAGTGGCCCCAGCTACTGAGCCAGCCCAAAACGTGGGGGCCTCCAAAACAACCGTGTGGCCACTGCTGAGATGCAGCTTGGGAAATGTTGCCAAGCATGAACATCCCTTACAACCCAGGGCTTCCAGAGGGATAACAATGACAGAGAAAATAATAGGGAGCAGCACTGGAAGGGAAGGACATGCTTCTCTATTCGCTGTGGATATTAGCACATCTATTGATTAGAACAGAAGTCCAATGAGGAGTCTAAAATCTCAGGTAAGAGAGGAGGTTTACTGAGCAAGAGTAACAAGGGTAAATCCTCCATGGATTGCACTGCTGTTGCTTCCCTGATTACTTTGTTGCTTCTTTTTGGATTTGCAAAAATATGATTTCTTAACCACCTGACAGAGCCCTTGAAAGATAATGCCAGAAATTATAATTATAATTATTTGTCCACCCACAACTTTACAAAATTGACCAGTATTAAATGGGGATTGAGCTTTGTGTACACAAGAACATAATACACTCCACACCATGTGCTTAATTCTTTTTCTTATGAGAGAGATTAAAATGATCAGCTTATACATGGGATAAAGTAAATTCAAACTCATACTGCAGGAGGTAGACTTGTGGCACATCTACCATTCCAATTCCACATCCTCACTAGTCCAAAACCAACAGAAAACTGATACCAAAGGATCTTTAATCTAGATGAACCTTCTTTTGGCTATTGACACAACTTGACTAGTTAAGAATTGAAATTAGATTCTTCAGTTGTTGTTAAGAATGCAAGCAAACCTGGGGCTGAAATGCTACTGGACAGTAACTATTATGGAGAGAAGGCAGCTGCAGGATCAAATGCATTATTTACTGGAGACCCCACAAGGCACGTTGTGATGTTTCACTGGTCAATGAGGGTCCCAATCTGCTCTACGCAGAGGTGGATAGAATTCTTGGTAAACGCACTCTAAGAATTAGATAGTCTAAAGTTAATAAACCTTTCAGGTCATGCTAAATTATCTAGGCCCACATAGAATTCCTCCAAAATACAGCTGTTTATTATGCATTTTATTCCTTCCCTTCTTTCTTAAATTATGGACAGTAATACCTTTCAAAAAGCTTGGATCTCTACTAGCTTCCTTGGAAAGTTTGGTCACCTACTGTAAAGATGTTGTAAATACATTTTGAAATGTGTTCCAGGCCAACTGCCTGCTGGAACCGCGAGAGTTAACATTAGAGAAGTTCACAATTTTCTTCAGACACATTTGGGAATTCTTGTTCCTTTGTGCTAGGATTGGATTTTTAATACTGTTTTTTTCTTTACTGTGATTCTGCAATACTATGACTTTTGGCACTGTTATTTCTTCCCACATGTTAATGATAACAAGTGATAAAATGACCAATTAAACCCATTCCACCCCATTGCTGATGTTCATGTACCTTTGCTTGGTAGTACTTTGGTTCAAAGAGGGTCACATCTTTACCCTAGTCTACTTGTGAACTGCAAGCTCCATTTTCTCCACTCCAGTTAGTTATGTAATTGTCAGTTACACTCGTATCTTTGCACAGACTGAGAATTCTGACCTAACCCTATCCATTCACAGAGCTATTTCAGTGTGCTGAGTGTAAAGACAGCTCAGCCAATTACATATTAGGATCTCTTTTCTCTTCTTTCCTTTTGTAAAAAAAGAAAAAAGTTCAGTTTCTAACATCAGGACTGCATTTGTAAATCTGGTTTTTCAAACCATTTTTACACCCATATCAAATCTACTGCCTGGTCTGTACAAACTCAACCTGCTGAATTATTTCTGTAAAAAAGGGACAGGAATTTGTGGCCCTCTAGGTGTTTTGACCTAGAATTCCCACCAGCCCCAATCAGAATAGCCAATTGTGAGGGACCTGTAAACCAGACCCCCATGAAGGTCCACAAGCTGCCCATCCCTGCTGCAAGAGTGCAAGTTCAGCACTAAGTGGCACATTTTGATTAAGCTAAGCCTAGGCAGAAGCAAGCTAAACTACAGTTTTGGAAAGGTACTATTCTGACATTTTAACCCTGAGAGGGATCTATGAACATGCTGCAGAGTATCAAAGCAGCAGCTCTCAGGAGTGTTATGGATAGCTGAACGTTATGTATCAAAATTCTCAGTAATTTATGCACAAGAAAGGAGTTAAAGCTTATTTTGCAGCCCTCGTGAGCTGAACAGGGTTTAAATGGTCTTCCATTAGAAAAGCCCACTTTATATAAAAAGTAAGGACTACACCTGATAATGCAACATTAGAGCACCCTTGCATGACTTCAGTTTAAACATTGATCAACATTCACAGATAAAGGGTTACACTGTACCACATTTCCCAATACAGATAATAAATACCATTCTCATTCCCATGTACAGCACAGAGACATCCACCACTCCCCATTCTCCAGCTAGCAGTTCCAACATCCTAATTTCCCATGAACCAAGCAGTATCCCTTTCCCAGCAATTGTGGGCATTGAATGCAGAGTCCAACCCTAACCTAACAAAGCCCACCCGCGAGCATTTGAAGATGCCTGGAATCAGAGGCTAGGAGGCCTTCCCTCGTTTTGAGGGGCATCAACAATCTTCACCACCGTGGAGGTTCAATTTTAGGTTTCAAGAATTAGCATAGCAATGCAAGAGGAAGTCAGAAGGGAACCATGGTTAGGTTAGTTGATAGTAATATTTCACTGTGAAAGAGGTACTGACTTCTAGACAACACAGCCTGAAGAGGGACGTTTAGTGTTCTCCACTAGCTTTGAGTCTGTGAAGCTGGCAAGGGACCCTGCTGATGAGAGTCTGACTGCCAATTAGGTGAATGTCAGCGAGCGTAGTTCCCAGTACCTCTAAGGACCTCAGCCTGTGGAGGACACTGCTCAGGTAAACAGGACAGGGAGCTGGGATGGAGCACAGGTCACTCGAAGCGGAGACATGATTTAATTCTAGTCGAGTAACAAAAGCCAAGCCATGATAACCCGAGTCTTTGAAAAGGCACACTGGAATACCTCAGACACGTGAGGGCTGAAGAGAACCTCGGGATCAGCACTGGCAAAGAACATGTGGAAGGACGGAACAAGCATTTACCTATATAGGCTCTCTCCTGCTCGCGGGTAAGCCCGGGGGGGATGACGGTGGGCATTCCGGGGATGACAGTCTTCTGGTCCATGGCATCCTGGTTCCATCGGCTCCTCTTCCTCTTTTTGTTAGGGTAATCTGCGCAGACATGATGATGCTTTATAGGAACGGTTAATACAGGACAACTTGCCATTTGTGGTTTGGACCTGGACCATAAATTGGCGCTGCCCAAATTGCCAGCAAGGCACTTTTCGTATCTACAGCAGCTTCCCCTTTCCCCAACACAACTCTCACTTTTAATAATATTCCTCCATTTAGGAAGGGGTGGGGAAGGGCAACATGGGAAAGGGCCTTTCTGGGGATGAGCAGCAAGGTCTGCCTGCAGCCAACACCCTCATCGCTTGGCTGGCAGGCTCTCTCCTCTACTCACAGGCACCTGATGGCCTCTTTCAAGTGTCAACTGCACTGGTTATGCCACCCAAGGATGCTTCAGTTGTTTTCTGGGGTGATGTTACTTTATTGGGTAACTGCTTTTAGTTTGACATTTGGTATGCATTAGGCGTTGTTGTTTTTTTGTTTGTTTTTTTGCAGTGCATACTGAGTCTTTTCTGAGAAAAGTGGCTAAGGAATTTAATAAGAACAATAAAAACAAGAAAGAGGAACAAGAGAAAAAGCAGCTCAGTTTGCCTCAAATGCAAATTAAAGCATTTAGCTGTAATGATCCCCCTTTAGGGTATTCCTTGGTGGGGGGGGGGGGTCTGGTATCACCAGCCCTACAGAACCCTCTTTCAAGAGGTCCTGGGGCTGAAGATAGAAAGTGTGGCAAAAGTCCCTCACCACCCACTGTCCATTCCTCCTCCATTTCCCTTATAATCACTCCTTTTTCAAATCAGGGAGACAAATATAAGGTAAATAAAAACAGTGGAGAATAAAAACTGTTATTTGCAAAAACAACAAGGCCTTGTAATATTCAACATGACTATCCCAATAAACAGCTTTTCTCACGGTATCTGCATCTGCCCAGGCATTCTGTAGCTTCTGTTTAAAAGGAACAGGCACAACTGTTGTGCTGTACTATGCGCCATTTGTACTGTCTGGATTTTGCAAAGTCACCAGTTTTTGGCTAGGTTAGTGCAGGAAATATCACTCTCCAGGGCCACCAGTCAAGCCTCAAAGACAGAGAGGGACCAGGAACGTGACAGCAGGGCCACCATGGCTGACGCCTGCCAAGGCGCATGGTCCAGCTGACACTTCCAGCTTTGATTTCAGTGGCATATGAGTCAATTTCAACTCCAACCACCTACGTAAATTGCAACAGCTTCTCGGAAGAACTGTGCATTTTAGAATCCCTTTTCCTTATTAGCACAGGATGCATATGGCCCAATGGAGTCTCTCACAATAACCAGCTGTTTTCTACGTCTGGTTTTTGACCCCTTTTCCCAATTTGCTGTGTGACCTCTGCAAAACCTTTGTTTTATAAAGGTGTGTAGATGAAGTGAAAGTACCATAAAATGAACCATAACTCCTTTTTAAGCTTAATGCCTATTTCAAAGTTAAACCTCGAAAACAAATACCCCTGGAATCTCACTCTTTGAGAATGTCAGGGGAATCTATTGGCAAGAGATGGCTTAACAGTTCAAAAGGGCTATAAAACCCTCTCACAAGAATATAAACATGAATATACTGTGACTGTACAATGCATTCAGTGAAGCATTTCAATTCACATTATCAGTCACCCCAACACGGTGGTTCCCAGATTTTGGACTACCTCTATTACATGTGAATAATAGCCATGCTGGCTGGGGCTGGTGGGAGCTGTAGTCTAAGAATATCTAGATTGTGCTAGGATGGAAAAGACTACACTACAATATCATTCTAGCACAGGGTGCACAATACACAGTCCATATGTCCCTTAGACCTTAAGAGAGCTGCTCAGGATGCCGGGGGGTGGGATGGGGAGAGAAGCCATCATGTTTTTCCCCATGGGGAAGTGCACTTGCATGCTGGCCCTGCATACAGCATCTCTGCTTAAGTGGCATAAACATCTAATTAGGCAACATTTGGTAACAGGGCTGTCTGCTGATTTCACCAAACATGCTCTCAATGTTTCAAGTTATTTGCTTAACCCTGTTTACAAGGCAGTTTCTCTAAGCATTAACACATATTAAATAAAACTTCCTACAAGAGTGTCATAATATTCTAATGCAGAAAGTGATGCATCCCAGAGAATATGAAAATACATGCTATTTCTTAGAAAATAGGGAAACAATAAAAACAGCAAAGGCAAGAGAGCAACATCCACGTTCATAAATATGCAACTAGTCCTCCATTTTGTTCATCCATGCCCACAAGAAAAGGCTCTTCCAGCAGCATCAGAATCGGCCTATGCTTCTCCAAGACTCTCCCTGGAGTCATTCCTTCAAGTACTTTCTCCATCAGAATCCTCCCACAAAAGTGCTGTCATGTTTGTATACAGACCCAGATTCAAGTCTTCTCTTGGCCCTGAAGCTTACCGGCGGGCCCAGGCCTAGTGGCTCTATCACAACCAAGCACATCTCAAAGGGGTTTTGTGACAATAAAATGCAGGGAACAAAGTACAGCGCTTTAAGCTCCCTGAAGGAACAGCACACTATAAAGTGGGAGAGGTTAACATGTCAACAGTTTATTCTCTACCCATTATTTCTCTCTTCATCTGGCACATTGTTTCTGCCCCGCTTCCCTCAGTTAATAACAAGTTTATCTGAATTGTGCATTTAAAGCAAAAAATGAATAAAGCTTAATTTGTCTTATTTTATTCTGATAACACAATAATACACCCAGCACTGAACACTGAGCTGATTTCTTAAATTTTGTAATGCATTTCTAGTTGCTGCATATAATTGTCTAATTGGCTCATTATGGGACCCTATAATCTATGACTGTTGCGTAAAAATAAATACTATTCCATTTAATGGCTTCAAGAAAGGGTTGTAAACCTACTTGAGACCTTTTACTACAGTTGATACAGAAACAATAATATAGCAGAGTGGAACATCCTTAGGGCACATGGCTTCAGTCATGTCTTTTACATTGTATATTACAGAGAAGGCTACAATTTTTGACTACTGATAGATTTGTAACAGGTAGAGAGAGCATCATGGGGAAATACTGTATTCAAGACCAAGGTGTGAGGCTCCCTGCGGACACCCAGCCAGAAACACTCTCTCTCAGTCTCACAACGTGTAGGAGAGTCCACCCTGGAATAAGGACATGGCTCTCAGGATTTAGCGGAGGTTCTGCACTGCAATGCCGATGCGATCTAAAGGTTAAAGAGCCGGACTGGGACTTGAGAGAAGAGGGTTAAAGTCCCCACTCAGCCATGAAACTCCTTGGGTGACTTTGGCCAATCACTCACTTTCAATACAACCTACTTCACAGGGTTGTTGTGACAGAACAAAAGGGATTACGTAACCCAACTCGGATTCCTTCCATGTACAGACAGATGTAGCAGTACTAGCAAAACACGAGCACCGTAATTATACAAAAGCCACTGGGGATGTGGTGGTGAAGGCACCAGTTTTCTCCCGCACTTGGCCACGAAGCTTGTCTTCCCCACCCGAGCAAAAAACCAGTAGAATAAACAGCGGTGGGCCCAGCCGTGAAGGCCTATCATCCACCGCGGCTGCGCAGCTAGTGCGGCTTAGAGGTTAGCGTGGCGGACCGGGGAGGCACGTGCTCTAGTCCCCGCTCGGCCACGAAGCTCCCCGGGGGCCTCGGGCCAGCCCCGCCGCCTCGACCGGGCCGATCTCGCAGGGCTGTCGTGGGAACTAAGAACAAGGGGGAGGGGGTCGCCACGGGGCCGCTGAAGGGCGGAAAGGGGGGTTTACTCCTGCCATGCATAACGAAGCGACTCCGCGGGCCCGGTCCGGCCCGTCCACTTGCCTTGGTTGCCGGCCCCGGCCTGGCCGCCCTCATCCTGCTGCGGCGCGTGGAGGTGCAGGTGCTGGGGCGGCGGCGGCGCCTGCTGCTGCTGCGGCGGCGGCTGCTCGTGGCCCAGCGGCGGCGGCTGCGGCTGCGGCTGGGCCGGCGGAGGCGACGGGAAGCGGTACTGGCCGTACTGGGC